GACAGTCTCTATACCCAGCATAAATGTGAGAAGTTTCATGGAAAGTTTCACGCACCTGCCTTCATGTTTGTTGAGCTTCATCAAATAGAAAGTTGTAGAATTTTAGTTTAAGGGAATTCAAAGGATAAGAAGCAGGGCTTAGTTCCTGGGAAGAATATCAAGCGTATGTCTTGCCCCATTTTTATGGTAATGGAAAAAATTGCGGCAGTCGTACATGGAATTCTTTCCATTTTCTTTAAACTCTGTATATTTTTTTAAAATATTTAGTCATGATTTTGCCGCATTGATATTGACGGTGAGGTTATCTCACTGGTGGCATTGTGATCTTGGGCAAGTCACTTCATCCCTAAGTGCCTCTCTCCACCCAATGGCTCACTCTGAAACGGTAGCACCGGGCTAGTATACTCCCCTGGGAGCTGAGATGATATCAGGAATGTTCAGATGATGTGAGCACAATACGCAGGGATAATGATGATAATAACAGCGCCCTCAGCACCTTCGTGGTGGATATGTTTTGCGTTTTATAAATGGCCCTTATTATTGTTATTATATCTTCATTTTCAGTAAAAATGAAAGCAAAGCAGTGAATGCACCTCAGTGTTTCTAGCCAGAGTTTGTAAAACATTTAAAAGGGAGCTTGGAACGTAGGTCATAAAATAGTCTGGTACCATCCAAATTAACACTTGACAATTTAATACAACAAATTCATTGAACGAGATTGAGAATGGTTACCTTGTCTATTACCAAAATCAAAACTCATCAAAGCCTTCATAATCATGGTAATGTTTGAAGTGGACGAACTGCACTGTATTTTTAGTCTTTGAAATAAAATGAGCAAAAAATATCTCTGTGATTTGCATTTCTTTAATTTTGTTTTCTGTTTGGCTTTTTGCAGATAGATAATTTGCTACACTTATTTTGAAATAGGTTTTTTGGAAACAATTTCATTGAATTTCATATTCTCAGTTACTCGGCTGAGTAAAGATTAAATTTTTTTCAATTTGAAATTGGCTGACGTTTCCAACTCTTTCTGGCTTCATGCTTTGAAATATTCTCGGCTAAAACTGACTTTTTAAGACGTGATCTCTTTCTGGGAAATTAGCGATGCCTATTTTATGGGACTGGTACAAAAATATGATTTACCTTTGAAGTTACCTGTTCCTGAAGCAGATGACCACAGAGAACCTTCAACAAAAAGGAAATAGGGCTCAACTGCAGTGAAATTGGGAAGGCCAAAAACCCAATGATGAATGAATAATCATTATTGTAACCCAGGGAAACACGTGTCGATGGATTCCTTTGCTCAAACGCTGTCTTTAATAACAATAAACTGATTTGTTATGCTTGAATGAACACCAGGGAGTAGATACCATAAAATCTCAAATATCTCCCCTTTACAAGCATTTTAGCCAACAAAATGATGCTTTTTGCAGAGGAAATTACCTGACAAACCAGGCCATGGTTTCAAAATTCGAAAACTCCAAAGGAATAAAAAATTTCGTTTTTGCTTGGGGACTAGTAAGGAGTTCTATGCTGAAACTTTCCACCTTTGAACGTAGGTGGCGCTCTCTTTATTGTGGTCAAAATGCGTACGGGTGAGACACCACAATCCAAAACGAGGCTGCCGCCTTCGCATTGTTGAATAGGAAAGGTTGTGGCCTCGTTAT